CCTTTCGAGTGAAATTCATCACATCAGATACTGGCACTGAGATTAGGAAAAGGAGCCAGTTTGAAGTCCAAGACAGAACAAGCAGCGGATTAAAAAAATTAAAAATTTCAAAGAACGCAACCTTGTTTTCAAAACAGGCACAAATTAAGCGTACCGCAGCTGTGATGCATAAGCACCCATGGTGGCATTATATTTAATCTGCCAGAAGACTGCTCATTATGCATTAATTTGAGGCAGCACGGGAGTGGCTGGGTGCTAACATGACATCACTTCTTATTTATATTTGTAATAACTCTTAATATCCCCAAAGGAAAGATAAGCTGAGGCGCAGAGATGATCACAATGGCTGGTATTTTAAATCTACTCCTATCTCAAATTATCAGTTAGGCATACGCACATTTCCATCAAGTCAGAACAAGGATCTTCTAGAAGAGAGGAAACACAGGAAATGTATCCGGATGCTGGAATTTCGGTAGTGGTCCACCTGGGAGCAGTGGTTTTCCTACCTGGGCAAGTTAACGATAAAAGGAGGTAAAAAAATGAGGAGCAGGAAGGAGATGGGCTGAGAACCCTGAGGCAGACAACAGAAATTACAGCCCTTGATAGTTTTGTTTTTATCTTCAGTAACAGCAGACCCGAGAGAGGAGTCTGGTGGAGATTTCCCATTTCTGAGATTCCGAAAATACAGTAAAAAGAATTGCAATAGTTGGGTAAGATAGGTTTCAAGAAAGCGAGCAGAAAAAACCCTGAAACTGTGGTGATGTGCCCAATTCTGAATCTGATCTCACTACTAAGTGAATAAAAGATCACTAAGAACTAGAGCTCATCACATGGCTTCTCTGAAATCATAAGCATCAAGCATAAGCCAATTAATGTGTCTATCCACCAGCTGAAGTTTCAACTACATTTCAACTAAAACTCTGGTTAATTTGAAATGGTACAACGATGCATTGCACAACAGACTTAACCGCAAGCTGATAGCAAGTTAGAGAAGACAACAGTTTATAATCAGAGGATTACTTTGAAACGACTTTAAAGTCCCCAAAGCAGGTAAGCCAAGTCATCTGGTGAGCAATACTTCTACCCCACAGCACACAGATCTGGACTTGCCTTGTAGTAACTTTTCCGTAATCCACACTGAGGCTCAGAATTGCGCAGCCAGCAGCAGCCAGCACTGATACAGCAGCCTGGAAACAGCTCAATGCATCCATCAACAAACTCCTTGACCCTGATCACAAAGATTACACACCTTTAGCTTTTCCAAAACCTAGGTAGTTCCAGCTTGTGGTGCAAGCGCCCGCTCTATCTTATGAACTGATTTCCTTTGATGTGTCATTTAAATCTGAAGGAAGATGAGCACAGCTGTTTGAGTCAGCTGCAGCAAGTTAAATCAACAGTTTCTTGTCAGTTCTGTAACAAACATGCTTCCACAACAGGGAACAACACAGCCAACCTAAGGAAGGTTTCTTCGCCTCTGAAGAATTACCTGAGATTTTTCATCCACCTCCTTTCTCCTGATCTAAAATTCTGACCCATCTGCTATTGCTTGTAAATACAAGTTTTCATTTAAACACTCAGATTTAAGTTTATTCATACACCGCAAAAGTTCCACCTGTGTATTAAAAACAAACAGATTAGAAGTAAATGTTTTATTCTTCCAACTAAATTCCAGTACTACAAGGGCAGTAAAACAATGATACACTGAAAAATTGCAGCAATAAACATTTGTTAAAGACTGATAGAATAAATAAAAACTACAAAAAATGAGAAATCATATAAACCCATTCTTAACCCCCAAAAAAGTCATGGAATACAGAAATGCCCTCCTTCACTATTTCACAGGCAGTACTGTGGGCTATTTGCTTAAAATTGTCCTGGGATTACATTCTAACTTAACTGTGATTACAGCTTTGTTGTAGTGCACAGTTATGAAAACCACACTAACTTCAGTCAGAAGTGTCATTCTACATTTTTATTTACACAACCAGTGAAGGGCAACTTCTAGAACACCAGCTTTAATCCTTTACTTTTTCAAACTTATTAACATAAGAAGCCAAATTGTAATGATACAGCAAATGAGGCCACTGGTATTATTACAGGTAGCAAAGGTCCACATCCAGGTGGTACTGACATCAGGGAGCACTCCAAAACCAGTTGCTGCATAAGAGTGGTTGCCACTGACAAAAGCTTGAAATAACCTGTGTTCACAGGGGGAAAAAAATATGGCATTGCTGCAAGTCTTTACTGGGACAGCTTGCAACAATAAAACAGGGTGTATAGGGCAGCCCACATATGCAGAAAGTGTGATTCATGAAACGTCTGGAAAGAGAAAAAAAGAACAAAGAGTTAAAGATGGAGTTAACGAATGCCACCTCTATCACAACCCTGTTATGGCAATATCACAACTTGCTTCAAAAATAAGAAAAACCCAGTGTGTTGTGGGAGACAGGTTTAGATGTTTTAAACAAAAGCTGTACTTTATCTCACACCTTCCTTTCGGCCTCTGTCTTCCATATTACCAATTTAAAGTATTTTAACTTGCGGCCTAGCTGAACCTTAACAACAAACAATGGCCACTTAAATTATTGAGCATTCAGTAATTCAATGCTGCTATAGGAACCAGAAGAAACGATACTCACAACTGGCAGGCTGTTCTCCATATCGTCGCATGATTTGATCATGCGTGAACTTCACAAACGCGTCATATTGTTCTGCAAGCATGAAGCATTAGAAGTGTGAGTATATTAAGTTTAACTCAAGCTGAAAAATATTCAAGGCTACTTTTTTATACATACAGATCATATAAATTAAACACGCATCCACTAACAGTAGTTTTAAGTGACTTTATACAGTTCATAGCTGCCATTTCCTTTTCATCCCCAAGAACAACAATGCAGCACGTCCCCTTAATTAAAAGACTTTCCCTTACAAACTTCTGTAACAGGAAAGACAGTAATATGCTCAAAGAGAATTATACTGCATATACACAAAGACCTCAATATACCTAACACCTGGCTAAGCGTCAGATACTGTATTTTGAAGTAATCAAGCGTGCCCATTTCACAGATCCATAACAGGGGCAGAGTAGTTAAGCAAACGTGGCACCAGGGTCAGCGCTAGGGTTGGAAACGTAACTTCTCTCTGCTCCTACCACCATCAGATGTAAGAAAATTAATTTAATGAAATGGAAATACAGAAGTACAGGAAAGGGACTGGCTACGGAGTTAAAATTATTTTTGGTGACCACCAGAAAATCAAAAGCAAATGACAAACCAAAAGGATGAAATGCTAAGTGACTAACACCTGACTAATTCCAATCACAAAACCAGCCACAACAGGAGACATATAGTTGACTGTGGACTTCATGAGAACAGCTACTGGGTAATCTGAAATGAAATTTAGATACCAAATGTATTAATTTTGCTTTGAACTAAGCACTCTTATTTCCCAGAAAGGTTATTCCTTCTATACACACATACATACAAATACATTCGCAATATTTTGCTCAGTTTTAATATTGCACTCATCAGCAGGATATCACCTTTCAGAATTAGGAAATTGAACAAGGAGAGTAATATCTACCAGATGCCGCTCCTCTCCATTCCCCTTCCTCCCTTGTGGAAAAATACATGTGCAGCAATGTGGGGTGTTCTGAGAAAAGGGCAAGGTCAAAGAAGGCAATCTTCAACCAAAAATGCAGTTAGATTTGTAGTGGTTCCTAGTCCCACAGGTTTGCCCCATTAAAGTCCCCATCCTCTTGCAGGGATGAGCTTCACCTTTGAAGTAAACAGGGTATCAGTAATCAGAGCAAGTAGTGCAGCAGCAGCCCAAAGTACGGACCTGACCCAGTGCTCTAAGGACATTTGTCCCTGACTGAAGGGGCCCCGGGTCACGGCAGCCAGTTCCCCTCTGCCCACAAGCAGGACCTCTGTTTCACTGCAGTTCTGACTGATGGCTTTTCAGCAGCCATGCAAGGATCTTAGCCAAACAACAAAATAACACAAAGAGCAGATTGAAGGATCTGTTGCCCAGAAACCATTTCCAAAAATAACAGCAACTAGAACTTTTCCTAAAGGTATGTATTAAAGGCCAGAAACCAGCTTGCAAGCTTTCTTCTTTAAAGGTTTAAGTCACACAGCTGCTTTCTAGCATCGTCTTTGTTAAAATTATGGCTTTGGAAGTTTAAAGAATCCACAGTTACCAAAAATCCCCTTTCTTCTGGCATTCAGACTGGGAAAGTTAAGCAATCCAAAGGTAAGAGGCAACCTACAGAGAACTGTTGGAAAATTTAAGCGAACACTTTTAAAGATACTTAACCCACTGGCATCCCGTATCATGTATGCTCCAAGTATCTATTTTAAGTCAACAAAAGGTGGCTAAATGCCACGAATACACATATGACTGCTATACTCTATGACTTCACCTTTAGTATAAAAAGCTGTTTTTCACAAACAGATTCTAGAAAACCTTTCAAACTAGTTTCCCCTAGCCCCCTACACTCCTGCTCTGGTTTTAAAATCAGCAAAGGATCTTGCAAACCCAAGTTTACGCTAACACAGCGGTTTCAGGTAACAGAGGCAGGAGGGGAAATCGGGTCATTACAGTGATCTGAGTTTTCCATTTATCAAATGCTCACTCTGCATGAAAGGCAACTTTGCTCACAAAGAACACGGGAGAGGAAAAAAAAGGCAGTATCTGGCTAACTACCTACAAGAAAACTGTGATTCAGGAAGGAATGAGGAAAATACCCTGAGATCCAAACGTTTAGTTAAGTCATTTGAAAGAAGCAATTCAACTGAGCTTTATTACAGAATTTCCAGTTACATTTCCATTGACCACTGGTTTGTAAGAATGAGTATCACCTTACTGTACATCATTTAGGAAAAGATATAATTGATCTGTCAGCAGAAAAACATAACTGGCCTTTTATGTAAGGAATTTCTAATTTCTTTTGGCTCTCTTTCTAAATTCCCAAATAATGCTGAAAATTTATTATCGGCTTGATATATGGGATGCAGTAACATGATCTTTCTAATAGCTCTTTTGGTGATCACCATCATAAGAACAAGTAAACCTAACTCATCTCACTGTAAACCACAACCCTCCGAACAGAAGCCATCCGCCTTCCCTTTCCAAAACCAAAAATGTTCCTTTTGGGACTGACAGATGTAGCACATGTAAGATACTTGCCAGAGGGGTTCCTGCTGTAAAGAACTACAAGTCTGTACTCAGAAAGGGTCTGGAACAAATGTAAATATATCTGATCTTCAAATGGTTATTATTATCACTGCTAACTGAAATGCCTTTAAGAGAATGCAAGAAATGACCCAATTCCTAACATACATAAATTAGAAGAAAAAAAGCTCTACAGAGCCCTAATTGATCCGTCTGAAGCAGGTTAAAAATAAAAATGCAGAAATGGAATGTTAGGCCCAGAGCAACAGAAGCATTTAAGGCTCTAGCTATAGCTGTAAATAGATGTAGATTTAAGAGGGACTTAGAACCGTAGTAATTTCTTACATAGCAATGGCAGATCACCAAGCACAGAACACGAACAGAGGCTCGGGTGCAGAGACAACACTGTCACAGGCAACCCACAAGCCTGACACAAGTCTGGTGACTTTTGCCATGGGCATGCCTGTAGAAGGTTTTATTCCCACACCTGAAGAGATCTGCAAACTTTAATGCCGATGTATTTTCAGGTGGGAAGCAGAACAGCCATGGGTATTCAAAAGCAGGTTTGCTGCCAAAGAGTGCACTCAGAGGTTCATTATCATCACGCTAAATATTACATTAGTCACTGAATCATACTGTGAAGGCACCTACCTCTGAATGCAACAGAATTTAGGTACTCAAATGCTAGCAAGATACTTAGAAGTAGAGAACTTCAACAACTGAAGGTCGTATTTACAATACAGACATTAACATGATCCTCATGAAAAGGTAAATTGGCATCAGGTGCCAAAAATATCAGCCAAATGACATGAAATACAACAATTCAACACAGAACATCAGAAATGCAGCTAAACTACTGACACTCAGGCCAATACCAAATACTGCTGGCAGCAGCGTAATGGTAAGTACTGGGAAGAGAAAGGGAAATCTTAGGTACTGTCATCTTGCCAAATTCCAGAAAAAGGAATTCAGTTCCCAAGCAGTAAAAAAACCCCAGTCCTTCACAAAGAGCTCTTAAGCCAGTAGAATAGAAAGTCTTTCTGGCAAAAAAATGAGGAGGAAATGATCAATTCAAACACGATAGCAAGAGAAAGTTCTATCTGAAATAAAACCACTGTTTCCATTGATTAGTAATACCCAGGAGTCATAGTTTCTATCCAAGGCAGCACAGAAGAAAAAACCCTATCAAAGAGACTACACAATTTTTTCTGTCCTGTACGCAATCTCATTCCTTAATCAAATTAGGTCAGAAAAAACAGCGTAACACAAAGATGAAAGTTTTAACCTTTCAAACTCATCCTAACACATTCCTTTGAACTATAATATACCTGCAAGTTTTGTGGTCAAAATTTCTTCATACTCTTCACGGATTTTCTCTTCACGTTCTTTCAGCAAACGTTCACAGATCATTCCAACTTGTCTGAGAGTAAACAGGGGCTGTTCTTTTTTCAACGGTGATGATGCTGCAGATGAAGTACCTAAGATTAAATATTTGGGCACACCAATTTACACTTAACAAGTAGTTCAGATCCATTTTTATAAACAGTTTTCTTCACATCTTTTACATTAGAGGGACTTTACAGAATATTTGGAGAAGTCTTTCTCTGCCATTTGGACACTTGTAATTACTATCACAGTAAAATTGGACATTCAAAAAGATGACATCTACCATGGACAATACACACAGGTATCAAAACACCAAGAGTGTTACACAAACACTGTGAACACCATTTATGTGGCAGTTGCCATTTACAAATTTAAGCTTCTATTTTATGTAAAAGTTACAGCACAGTGTATTTTTGCAAAGACAGCTGCTTTGCAAAAGCCTACTCCAGTATCAGTGGCAGGGTATGCAGGATGGTCTCTTGAAAACAACGCAAACTTTGTGTCCTACTGATTCTTTAAATGAGAAGCTACAATCTTCCAGATCAATGCTAGTCTTGCCAAAAAAAGCTAGAGTAACTGCTGAGAAGATGCCATAAACCACTGGATAACTACGGAAAATTATTTACGTAAACAGAGTCTAAGAACACATAGCAGAATTACACAGAATTTTCTGGGTACCTGGCAAAGCTGGTCCAGTAAGGAGAAATGCATGTGGCTGTGCATCAGTAGAACAACAAGGATCTGTCTGCTGGAAGCTATTTTCTAAGTGTCTCCTCTTCTGCATGCGTTTGTACTCCTGTTTTATGTTGTACAGAATTTGTTCTAAAAGAAAAGCAGTAAGAAAATTCAGTCTAAAATAATTACATTTCAGTACTTCATTTCCACTCCAACACCAAACACTGTAGATAATTAACAGCTAGACTCTTAGAACATGGCCTGCAAAAACCAGCATGGTTTACCTAAGACACATACAATTAAACTAAGTAAAAGGAAGGTAACTCCAGACTCTTTTCACGAGGAGAACACTAGCAAAAAGTTAAGGTCAGGTATTGGTGCTAGAGTACTGCTAACAAAAATAAACAGTGTGAAGTTAAAATTTAGGAACTATCAACTATACATGTATAAAAAATAGGCTACAGAACTTCTACTGGTATTCATCATCTTCCCTTCATACACTGCATTTGCAGTCACCTTTCTCCCCCAGACAGCATTTATTATTCATAGTTGGGATAACAAAAGACTCCAGAATAAAACATATACATGAAATGCCATTCCTCTCTGTATAGTTACTGGCACATAGGCAAAGTGGAGAGGTAAACACAATTTAGACAGAATATGCATAGAACTACTGCTTAAAATTTCAAAGAATTCAAAACTGACAGACAAAATACAAAAGCCTTCCACATTTTTGACAGCCTCAGATCTAGTCAAATAAACAGAATGGATGGATCGATAGTTCCTTTTAAAGGAATATGGCAATATGTAGCTCAGAATTTGATGGCACTGAATAAAATACAGCAAGCACTTTTAATAATCTTACCTCCACTGTAGAATTACAAGGAAAAAAAATAACCCTTGCAATAAAACTATCAATCCTGTGTGCCTTCTCTCTGAAATTCCATGTACCAAAAGGCTCTCTGGTACATCAGTGCCCTAACTGCATATCCTCTGGCAATGTAAAATATATTAAAAAAAAAAAAAAAAAAGCCATTTTTTTACAGGAGGCTTTCACACAAAGAGACTTCTAAAGACACTTTATGAGAATTCTTACTTTCCAATGCTTGAATACATTTTTAAAAAATTGCCTACAGTATCATCTTCCACTGAGACTTCTACACTTTTGGCAAAGACAGCTTTCCAAAACTCAGATACGTACAAATCAATGGTATTGTGTCAGAGTTGCAAAGAACTCCACTCACTCAGTACCTTCCCACTTCTGTTTGGCACGTTGCCAGTACAATACCATGAAGACTTCTCAACTAATTTTCAGGTTTGTAAACAGTACACTATGGAGGTTCCTTATTTGAACATTTTCTAGTAAGCAACCACGTGAAGCAAGCAACTTTAGCTACCAGCTTATTCAGTCAGTGGCTGAAGCCTACACTAGACCAAGCAGAAGCAAACATTCACCAATTCCAAGTTCAGAGGTTTAACTACTACAGTGGTTCTTCAATTCCATGAGCCAGTCTGGAGGCTTCCAACTTGTAAAGAGAGGGAACTGTTTCCAGTCAACAGGAATACCAGCATTTTCAGCAAAGGAGCTTCTTGTTTGGATTTTGCCCACTGATGAAGGCCTTGCAGTTTACACCTTTTCAGTCCCATGCCTACAGTGCTTGTACAATTTTTAGCTCCCTAAAAGGGGATCAACAACTTGGTTCAAAGCAGCAGCAAATGCAGTAGACATAATAAACAAGCACAGTAGGGAAATGAAGAGAAGGAAACTATGAGAAAGTGGGGAAAAAAGTACTCAAGGGTGACTGGAGGATTCATATTTTTTGTAGGACAAGATACATGCTACTCTCCAGCATGGTACAGAAATACATAAATCAGGTTAAATCAAGACACAGTCAGGCTTCCAAAATTAAATAGAATCCCATGTAGAATTTGTCACGTGCATACACACTGCATCAGTCGGAGAATGGCCCTGCAACATTTTTACTCAGTGTGACAGTGGTAAGACAATACTTTTCCTCAGAATCAAGTGCTGTTCTAGCTGAAGTGATACTGCATAATTTTGAGTGGGAACCAAATTAGCTCATAAGATAACATCTGTCCTGAAGCATGTCTACACCATGAGAAACGTGACTGCAAACATTCACACTGTATTTACATTAACTGAAGAATGTTAACAGATCACGTGCATCCTTCACTACGACTACTTCGTCTTGGGCATACTTTACAAATTCCGTATGAGCTGCAAAAGCATCAGCCAAATTTTGTGTGTAACAGTTTTGATAAAAACCTTCTCTACAGCTCTCCCTTAGATTATTTTTTTCGCAGAAACATTCTCAAGCCACATTGACCACCAAAATAATGAGGGGGGGAAGAAAAAAACCTAAACAGACTCTGGCCAATGGATAAAACTCCAAGAGTTAAAACAACAGTCATCAGCCAGGTTTCCTCCAGCCCTAACCACCCCTGCAAATTACACAGGGAATAATTCATAGAAAACGTTAAAACACCAGCCAGAATAGAAGGAGCAAAAGCAACATATGGGGGGGGGAGGGAACACAACAGGGAGGGGAGGTAGAGAAATCGGGTACTGACTTTGGGAAAACAGTAACAGCTGGGGTAGAAAATTAAGATCTGTGCACCAAGGATACATTATTCTATTATATTGAATTGTGGACACAGAATTCTCCATGATAGTACATTAATTTCATCTACTTCTAATTTGGCAACACTTTTTAACTTGCCATCTTCAAATCTTGCTCTGAAAATCAAAAGTCTCAAGGAACGCCACTGACGATACACTGGGAGATCCCCTTCCTGACAAAACCACTTTGACAGTTTGCATTACTGTAACTTCAAGTAAAGGTATAATACTAAACAAAGTGGGATGGAGGAAGGGACTATTTAAACATGCCAATACAGTCTACATTGTAAACAGGAGAAAAAAGTCTGAAACCTGAAGTCCTGACTCAATACTTGTTGAACATGTACATAACCTGGTTTGATAAACGGTATTCCTCTATTTAGTCTAACTTAGGAGATTTAAGGCACTATTGCTCGACACAGAGAAGTGGACTACAAGCTCTACTCAGTACCGTGCTGCTAGCAGGCATGAAAATGACTCATCTCATACTTCCCAATCTCCACCTTTTGTAAAATGGAGATTAATCATCAAGAAACACAAGTTTAACACAGCGTCGAACTGTTCAGTGACTTCTCACGTGAATGATCAGACTAGTAATGCTTCCAATTAAACAGGCACATTTTTGCAGCAGCAAAGACTGAGTAGACATTTTTATTAACATACAGTGGCATAAAATCTATGCCTTTAAACAATACTTCCCTATGAAGTGAAATGTAAGCTTGCAAATATTTATGACTGATTTCAAATGAAAACCTGAATGCCAAATAGAATTTTTTTTTAACAATCTAGGAGAGTAAGAAAAGTTGTTTAAATGCAGAGTTCCTTCTGGCATTTGCAGTTTTGCTTAGTAAATCCACAAAAATGTGTCTGATGAACAAACATACTCTGTTCAAAACAGTTTTTATAGCATCTCGGCACTTGAAAGAAACCATGAAATATTAAGGCAGGGCAAACCAGACAACTTCTAAACAACATCTATACTGCAGGCATCTAACTGTAAAGCCCTTTAAAACTCTGGTCCAGTTAAACAAAGCTTAAGAGTTAGCAGATGTCATTCTCCAACCTAATTTTGACTCCAGAAAATCTTTCTGCCTTTTTAAGTTCAGTTTCTTAACTTCCTTCACTTCCAGTTAGCTCTGACTATTCTCTCTGCAGCTGGCAACAGAATTAAAATGTGTGTTTAAATGGTGTCAAACGCAGGACAGGTTTTCTTGTGTTCCTCAATATGGAGGCCCAAATTGTCTTTTTCAACAATGACAGGCATTTTAATTAACAAATTATTTCTTATATAAAAATTTAGAATCTGAAAGTGCACTCATTGAAGAAAACCTAATCTAAGTGAGCTTTCCTGAAACCATAAAACCAAAGTGAGAACTTGAATCATATATTAGAACTCATCAGATATTTTAAATAAAGATTTGCATCCATCTTATATGTGCTGAAGTTCAAATCAGACATTGTACATCAGGCAATGATTTCACTTGGGAGATGACAAGAGGAATATATTTAATATGATCAAGCATACATCACTGTGGCCTATCCTCAGTTTCTTTCTAAATTTCTTTCCAAATTTCACTTTATCCCCTGTGCTCAGTGTTTCCTACTGGTTAGAGGTACCTCTGAAGGCACAGGGCTAGCTAAAAGGAAACACCAGGCAGAGGTGCTGAAAGTGAAAGTTAGGCCTGCTGAATCTAGGGTAGCAGCAAGAAAAAGCCACACTGCTAACACACCGAGATGAATTAGTACTTCATAAATGACATTTCAAATTCAAGATGACTACAAATCCCAGCCAGTTAGGCAAGACTGTATTATATGACCCCTTCTCCTCCTTCAGGTTCAAGGCTAAGATAAAGAATGACACACGAAGTTTGCTACAGTCTCACCATGATCACTAAAGGCATAGGAGATTCAGTTAAATACACCTGAACATAACAAAATGCACAGATACTCTGTTTTTTTCCAGAGTTCTGTGTAATAAGAGCATAAGGTTGAGTATATATGTTCATGAAATACTGCATTAAGATGAAGGACCGCATTCACACCAGTCGTCTTTCAGAATTTGAGGTATGATTCAGGGAACCAAAATATCACGTTTCAGCTGCTTTCACACCCAATGAAGACTGAAAGAAACATGAAGGGGGCAGTTCAGAATTCAAGTTTGACATCTGAAATATGATCCGTCACACAAATGGATTACAAAACCAAATACTCATTTCCAAGGAGTGATGCCTTCTTACTTCCTTTAATTCATGATAAAAAGGCAAGGTGCTCTTTTTAAAAGTTCTGCCATCTAATTACTTCATCCTGACCTGTAATTACCTAGAAATTATGCACAAGGGAAACAGCAGTTCAACTTGAAAAGGTAACAAGGCAAACAATTATTTTCTCCATTTTAATAACCGCTTATCAACTATGAAGGTGCTGATTGTTTCCCCAAAGGATTTTTTTTTCTTCTGTTTTTTTTGGGGGGGGAGTTGATTCCTAAACTAGCAATCTCCCATCGCAGTTCCTGGCTTCTCTCATTTAGCTGAAAGAAACTTTGGCAAAACACGTAGGAAGGTGACTCAATAGGCTGAAATCAGAGTAGCAGTTTTCCTGGCCCGAAATGGAACCTAAAGCTCAGGTTTCAGCTTGCAATGTCACCATTCAACATATGCATTCAAACCTGAACCATGCCCAAGATTTCTTCTAAAGTGAATCAATCAAACGCTATCCTGATGTCAGCAGCATACATCCTCAGGGATTTCAGCTCCTGTTAAAGCAAAACTGCTTTGCTGTCCTAGTTCAAATTTATAACATTTCCATTAGGCCATCATCCTTATTCAACATTTAGTTGATGCTACCACATTCCTAGTTTTGGCCTCCCCACCAGACTACTGACACACAACATTAATTTTAAGAAGCTAGCTTCCCCTAAGGGCAGCACTGCAACACAGCAATGGGTAACAGCATTCTCCACTTTTTGTATTTACTTAACCAGGGAATCCACAGGCACAGCCAGAAATTAGAACAATCCAGGTATTCCTCTTACTCTCCGCTTTGGTCATAGACATCAACCACTCCAGTTACAGTTTCTTAATTAGGCATGGTCTGCGAGACTTCAGTGATAGAATGTATACTTTTGGAAATCACTCTCACCTCGGAGGAGCACGCTCTATGCACCAGAGAGAACACTGGTAATGGGTATGCACTGACACTTCACAGCCAGCGTCTATAGCTACGGAATGGACAGAAGCAGCTCGCAATGGGCTCTGTGGCACAGAGCTGGCCAACCTCATGAGATTGAATTACTCAAGGTCTCAGGCTGACGAAAGTTCTGGTTCTCCCACAACAAGTCGGATGCTCACATATGCATTAGCTCATTCTGCAAATGTGTTATTTCAGGAAATCCCAGTTCTCCTGATCAAGGGGTTGAGGAATGAAAAATAAATCAAGTAATGCAAAATGTATTAGACACAGCAATTAGATCTTTCTCTTCATATAAAAAACGTCACACTGCATTTATCAGACTTGCCACTGAAACAAAAAACTGCTTCAACATTTTATGACATCTACGACCAAGGGTATTTAACATTTATAGTCACCACAGGCATCTATATAGAAATTTCTCATACAAATTCAATTATCAAGTCCAGATGCAGCCATTATGTGCTTTTTCTTTTTAAGAGGTGGGAATGTTTTGTTTTTCGAAATCCTAATGATTTCTGCAATACTGGAGCACAATGAGAAACTTGGCATCTCGCCAAGATAATTTAGCAATAAATAAACATGCAGATAAATGTTAACGAAACAGAAATTAAGCAGAAAGAGATGCAGCACTACAAATACGTCACATTCCAAAGCCACTAGATCTGTTCATTTAAAAGCCAAACCTGTACTTGGCCACTGTCTGACCAGGTTTCAGACAGAAGTAGTTAAGTTTGCTCAAGAAGGCAACTGAAAGGTCATAGGAGGACAAGCCTATAGGCGAGACTAACAGTTCTTCCTATTTAAAAAGGTCAAACTAATTTTCTTGCATTAAATTTGAAAAATTGTGTTAATTAGATCCATTTTTTCCAGATTATTCTGTGAAAGAAAAAGGTATACATTAAAGACAAATTTATCTACCTTGTTTGTAAAGAGTCCTTCACAAAAGAGGGACTCTTAGAACCAACTCCATTTGCCATCTTTAATAGGGACTTCTGCCATACAACTGCCATTAGAGCAGCAAATACCAATTATGCATACTCATTACTAAAATACTGCATAAATTCAGTATTTTCCGTATTTCATCAAATGTTTGACATTATCTCTGCTTGGATTTCAACCCATGACCTGAGTTGAAGGACTGTTCTCAATAACCCCACCCACTACAATTTTGGGTTTGCAACATCAGTTAGTTGCTGGGGAAGTGTTGAGGCAGATGAATGTGGCAGATGGAGGAAAAATTGCGTGTGCAGATGCAAAACTGTGTGGATTTTAAGCGATTTCACAAACTGTTTTTAAATACAACAATTTTTTTATTCTACAAAGTTCTAGTTCCAAGTTAACCTCTCCTTGGGTGAGGAGCAGGGATGAAGGTACAACCTCAGTTTGTCTTCTCAGTTACTATATATCACAAATTAGGAGATTTAAATCCCTAAGGTCAACCTTGTCTCTCCCTCCTCCATTTCTTTGTACTGCATTTCCTGCTGTAGCTTCAGTCTCAGAAATATCCAGACGTGCAGGCTTTCTAACACTGACCTGCCTTTGAATTAAAAAACAACTTACATGTAGTTTATTTTTTGTTTCCTCTCCCCCACCCCCCACCCAACATAATCTATCACCAGGGTAAAACTGCAAATAATGGTTCTAAAACATCCAGCAGAGAACAGGAAAAAAAATAAAATCCTGACACTGCTTCCTCCCTCCAGAATTCATTTAACAGCTTTGAAACTTTGGGCATCAGAGGAACCCAAACATGTACAATGCATTATGCACAGGCATCCAGACCCAAGTGCAGTTGTTCTGGGCAAACAGAACAGTCTCATTTATAGCTGGAACTCACATGGAAGTAAAACTCATCTGTAGTATTCAAGCAGTAGAAAACTTCTTAGAGGAGCCACTCTTTCAAAACTGAACCCATCTTATGACAAGCAGATCTGTTCTGCACCACTTATAGTGAACACAGCTTTAAAACATAATTCTAGATGCAAACAATGGTATCCAAAACCCAGCAGACATACTCAGAGCATGCTCAAACCAGTAAGCACAATTCCACGGAAAGTATAGACAGTAAAGCCACAATTACAGTTTGGCTGCCAAATTCACAGAGAAACTGGAAGTGACCTAACAGCTGTTCAAATAACCACAAAATATTAAAACACTCTGGTGAGAGATAAATTTCATCTTGAATAAGCCTACCCTCTCTCAAGCAGACATATCGTTTATTTGTCTATGACCACTCTATAAAGACAGCTGTTTTCTCATCTGACTACCACACTGTATTCTTAATTCTCAACACCCCCCCTCAATCAATCCATATTCTGCTTACAGAGAATTCATTTTTTAAATGATTAACCATGTGGTGAGAAGTTCTGGTGCTGATATAGTCTCTGCTGGGTGAAGTTAAACACTACCAGGACAGAGTATCAGGTAGAAGAAAAATGCTTAAGCGTGAACTTTAAAATAAAGTATCAGCATCAGGTTTTATGTCCAGAGCTCTGATTTCATATGACCATTAATTTCCATTAAACAAAATTCAGACAGACACTTTTTAAGTGCTGGAAACCTAAGCATTACAGTAACCCGCTGAGAGAACCGTTAAGTCAACTGAATTCTGGCTATTGTTACTAAATTTCCCAATATAAAAACTGAACAAAACGGTGACTCAGTTGGGAACGCTTTTAAAGTCAGACTGGAATTCTTTTCACACACAGGGCAAGATTTATCTGACCCAAATGTAGACATCTACATCAGAAACGGTCATGAAAATTAATTTTACAGTCAGTGGAAAGCAATACATATTTCTACAGCATCCTTTGCTTCATCCTAAGTCAGAATAAACCATCTGTTTCTTCCAACTATCAAGAAAACCACAAATTATTAGGTCAGGTGTAAATTTACAAAATTAGATCAGATGAATCCCACACAGTCTTTCAAGTGACCCCTTTAAAATGATAAGCTCTACGTTGTTCGCTGATGGTCAAAATGAAATATACACAATGTCATACCCCTAAATTCAACTGAAAGCAAAAACTAAGCAAGCTGTCTAACAGTCACAGTTGCACTAGCACTGGATAAACATTTTTCTCTTGTAACAGAAACCGCAGAGGGAGCTTTTAAGCAAAACCCGTGTAAATGCACACAATTTAGAAATGCTTCAAGTTTTGCCCAAGAGCATTCAAGTGCTCTAAGAGACATTTTGATGACCTGTCCTTCACTTTTCATACAAATGGCTTACAGATCTGTCAGTACTGAATCACCTTTTCACATGGATTACCACCTGCACTTCTGATATTCTCAAGAGAAGACGAAGCCTGTATTTGCTCAAGTTCAGCAAGATTTTAGTTTTTAAGAGCTTCAGAATCATTAAGATAGGAGTTTAGGTATTACCTCAAATACTGCTGTAGGTTTTCTCTACTGAAACCTTTATTGATTTGTCTCCTTTCAGCAATACACATCGACTGGCCAGACAATATTTACATTAAATATTCATAACCTAAGCTCTCCAAATCCCGAAGAAACAAGCCAAAATAAATCCTCGCAATGAAGCAAAACCTATCTTCTAAAAAAAAAAATAATCAAATTAATTCTGATTGTAAACATCTATCTCCAAGCATATGTAATGCCTCACTGTACCAGGGAGTGCCATCCATCACAACTCTCATCCCAGACCGCTGACTCATTCAAGATCTTTTCCTAGAGGTGCAAAAAAAATCAAGGCGCTGATGCCAAGTGTAAGTACTCTGTATGCTGTTGATATATTTCCTCCATGGCATTTTTTTTTTATTTGATTAAAACCTGTGAAAATACATATTCTACTGTACAGTTTTCAGAACTAAGACTACTGAAATGAGGCACTGTCCTACATGGAGGAGATGGCAATTTGAAAACACATTCAAACTTACTGCTTGGTAATACCAGTGGTAATCTGGGCCAACTTCTGTATAAAAGGGAGTACCAAACGCAACAGCAGAAGGAATTCAGCTGCAACAACTGCAGAGGGCTTTTTTTTTTTCCCTGCACACAAAGGACACAGATCCATACCTCAGCGCTACAGCCACTCATGGCTGCGAGCTTAACCGTCTAAGTGCATTACTGGAAGCATTAGACTAGACTAACCGTAGTGAGGGCCAATCAATCCCGCCTGCCCAGCCAAGACTCATTCCTTTCTTCTCTCCCTCCTCGCCGGTAAAACCGAACTGGGGTGATTTTTAATTGACAACAAATACACAAGCAAACCTGGAGCTTTTAGGGCCACCGCTTGACCCATCTCGCACGTTAAGAATGTAAAAGGGCTTCGTTCTCACCCGCCGAGAGGAGAAGACTTTATCTGCCCTAAAGGCAACTCTCGCCCTCGCACACAATCGCTTTCACCCAGACCCATCCCCCGGCCCCCCAGCCACTCATGGCTGCGAGCTTAACCGTCTAAGTGCATTACTGGAAGCTACCCATTAGACTAACCGTAGTGAGGGCCAATCAATCCCGCCTGCCCAGCCAAGACTCATTCCTTTCTTCTCTCCCTCCTCGCCGGTAAAACCGAACTGGGGTGATTTTTAATTGACAACAAATACACAAGCAAACCTGGAGCTTTTAGGGCCACCGCTTGACCCATCTCGCACGTTAAGAATGTAAAAGGGCTTCGTTCTCACCCGCCGAGAGGAGAAGACTTTATCTGCCCTAAAGGCAACTCTCGCCCTCGCACACAATCGCTTTCACCGCTGGGTTTTCCTACGAAACTTTAAGGATGCCACAGAATGGGTCACCCGGGACGGTGGCACGCATTAAGGGCCTGGAAGCGGAATTACCCCTTTGTTTTAATCTGCTTTTGCCTTTTCCCACTGGCGT